AACAACATCGTGAAAGTAACCAGGAATAAAGCATCCGCACTGTGGTGACAAATAAGGAAGCGATATTGAAAATATCAGAAAGATCACTCCCGATAGGTAGCACTGAAGCCATATTACAGTTCACGCTCGACGTACATAAAATCACGACGGGGAACATCGTCAAATATGAGCGATATTAGATACTGTCATCGTCAATCCAAATGTCAAGCGGAGCGATTAGGGTAAATCCTTCTTACAACGGCAGAGGCTTACGATGGAATGGGCTATATTCCAGACTGGAAATTTAGCGTTAAATTAATTACAAATACATTACTCTACCATCAAATAAAAATAACATGATACATACAATTCCAGAGCCATACCTACTAAATATTTGATGATTGCGGGTAATGTACCCGACCAGTATTACGACGAGTATAAAATGACGTGAAACGCCTGTCAGTTAATACTCGTACCTTGTGTAACATCACGTGGCGCATATTTATAACAATTTATAACAAAACTAGCTGCAGCTGCAGAGCCCCGCAGTTTCACCAGTGTATAATTTAAGAAATCACTGATTGATTGATTAATTTATAAGACTTCAGTATAGACAATATTTTAGTAACATTTTTAGTTAGTATTAAAAAAAAATTGGTTATCTCGGTATTCATCGGGCGGCTAGGGATATGCGTCGATCGCACGACGAGTCGAGTGTTACATTAGTTTAATTTTACATTGTCTCTTTAACTTTTCGTCCAAATAAAGGGCAAAATTTATCTTCATAAAACTGTATTGATGATGAAGTAACTTTCACCATGCCTCACGCTCATAAGTCACTTTTTAATTTTTACTAATTTTTGCTCACAGAATGCATTATTGTGGCTTATGTGTAAGAAATAGACATATGATATCGCGTACTTTTTTTTTTGATGGAGTAAAGATCAATACTTTTGTAGAATATTGTATTTAAGTACGTATCACTAACCATTCTAACACCGCACGCGGATAAAGCAGTTCGGGAGCGCTTTTTCTTCAGACTTGCTTAACAAAAATCAATACTATCAAGGCTAGCTGGGAAATGTAGCCTAATGCTAGATAATTATTTATTGCAATTAATTAATAAAAAAAATATTTATCGAATATAGCATATTGCAGCAACAAAGTTAACAATAACAAATTAGCAATAGCTGTGTGTCGGGATTCAGTTCCTTCCCATATCCATAAAGTTACAATTACAGAATGTCTCGTTACAAATCAGAACAAGATAATAAAATAAATAAAAACATTTGCAAATGTAAATAAAAATATGTGTGCGTATGTGCGTTGTATGTAATGCAAACATAATGCGTGTATCTGTACAGTGCGCGCGCGTGTGTGTGTGTGTGTGTGCGTGCATGCGTGCGTGCGTGCGTGCGTACGTGCGTGCGTGCGTGCGTGAGTGCGTACGTGCGTGCGTGCGTGCGTGCGTGCGTGCGTGCGTACGTGCGTGCGTGCGTGCGTGAGTGCGTACGTGCGTGCGTGCGTGCGTGCGTGCGTGCGTGCGTGCGTGCGTACGTGCTTGCGTGCGTGCGTGCGTGCGTGCGTGCGTGCGTGCGTGCGTGCTTGCGTGAGTGCGTGCGTGCGTGCGTGTGTGCGTGCGTGCGTGCGTGCGTGCGTGCGTGCGTGCGTGCGTGCGTGCGAGCGTGCTTGCGTGCGTGCGTGCGTGCGTGCTTTCGTGTGTGCGTGCGTGCGTGCGTGCGTGCTTGCGTGCGTGGTGCGTGCGTGCGTGCGTGCGTGCGAGCGTCCATGCGTGCTTGCGTGCGTGCGTGCGTGCGTTTGTGCGTGTGTGCGTGTGTGCGTGTGTGCGAGTGTGCTAGTGTGCGAATGTGCGAGTGTGCGAGTGTGCGTGTGTATGTGAGTGTGTGAGTGTGTGTGTGAGTGTGTGAGTGTGTGCGTGTGTGAGCGCGTGTGTGTGTGGGTGTGTGTGAGTGTGTGTGTGTGTGTGTGTGTGTGTGTGTGTGTGTGAGTGTGTGAGCGTATGAGTGTGTGAGTGTGTGAGTGTGTGTGTGTGTGTGTGTGTGTGTGTGTGTGTGTGTGTGTGTGTTTTGGGTAAAAATATTTTTTATAATCGGAGTGGTAGTTCCAGAGATTTGCGTGTTTAAGCAAATAAAAAAAAATCTTCCGCTTTATTATATTAATATTATAGTATAGATACATGAAATCTATACAAATAAATAAAAGGAAGTATGTACGGTACTAATAACTAAAATACAATTTTTAAGTTTTTTGTCTGTCTGTCTGTCTGTCTGTCCGTCTGTCTGTCCGTCTGTCCGTCTGTCTGTCTGTTTGTTCCGGCTAATTTCCGAAATGGCTGGACCGATTTTGATGGGATTTTCACTGGCATATAGCTGATGTCACAAGGAATAACTCAGGCTACTTTTATTTTAGAAAAAGAATTAGGGTTCCGCGCGAAAAAATTAAAACCCCAAATAACACGTTGGCGAAGTCGCGGGGAACAGCTAGTAATATAACATAATATAATATATTTGTACGAATTCATTTTTAAGTATAACAATAGAAACAGAATGTTGAAGTCATTGAAAGTAGAGACATGCTAAAGAAATAAACTTAAGTGGCTACTCTTAAAGAATTAAACGACATTAGAAATAAAATATTCAATAGTGAGTGAAAAAAAAAACATATGTACATCCCTCTACTAGGTTCAGGCAACCTATCATTCATTACGCTACTTCTAGAGACTTGAAACATCCTAGAAATGTTTTCAATTTCTTAGAAATGCTAATTTTTGAGCATGCGGTAAATCCAATTAAAACTCCAATTCAATCAGATCGCAATTGGTTTGTTCGCATAATATGAAACACGGCTATTGTCATACTACGGTAAAGTGTAAAACGCTTAATGATATACCCACATATGCACATGATATAAATATGTACTCTGCGTATTTATTTATTTTTTTCACTTTTTATTACCACATAAAAAGTACCATCTTTCAAATCAAAAAAGAATCATCAAAATCGGTTCAAATAGAAAAAAGTTATGAAGTAACAAAAAAAAAAAACACACAAAAAAAAATTAAAGGTAAAATTTGGTACAACCGACTTCAATATAAATTATTAAGAACAACTCAAAAACTATTGGTCAGACCTTAATCAAATTTATTAGCACCACATGAAAAGCACCAGCTTACAAATAAAAAAAAGAATAATCAAAATCCGTTTCATTACATTAAAATTAAAAAAAAAAAACTACAAAAAAAAGAGTACCTCCTTCTTTTTGAAGTCGGTAGAAAAAAATTCAGTCCAATTGAGTAACTCCTCCTTTTGCAAATTGGTTAAAAGTGGTTATAACAACAATGATAGCTTCTGGTTTATCCAGGATTTAATTTCTCTCATCTGCTAGTTACAAAGTTAAAAAAAGAACCGGTTTGTTGTTAACTACTGTTACTATAGCAAATACTCGTAAAAAGCAGTCACTGTTATTGTATTTTATGTGGTTAATGTTAATTTTATGGTAACTAACATACACTTCATAAAGGCCCAATAAACTTAATGATAATTGCGTCATATTGACTTTCTAACCTATAACCTCGGATTAAGAAATTCAGTAGTATCATTCAACTCGAATAAAACAATCAAGATATCTCTTGTGATAGTTCGTTCACGTATTCAAAGTACCGTTACAGCCTATTAAAGTCCCCTGCTGAATATAAGCCTCCCCCATATCTTGCCTCAGGGAGATATTTGCCAAAGTTGCCACCCTTGGCAAGCGGGATGGCAAACGCATTTTTTAATTCTTAGTCGTAAATAGAAAGACGCTGCTGCCCGTCTCCTGATTTGTTTCCCTCTGTCGCCTCTTACGACACCCATGATATGGGGTAGTGGATATTTTTACGCTACCACTACACGAGTACCGTTCAATAAAAAATCAACTTTCAGTGACTATATTAAATCTGACGGTGAGATTTATACGAAATTCACATAAAGTTTTTGCTATCTCCGCACCTACGAAATTTTCTCTTTGAGCTTGCAGCGCTGAAGCAAAAAGCAAATGCTGCTGACAGGCTCTTTATAAGGGCTCTCGCTTTTGGTTCGTTAGCCAAATTAACGTGTTAGCCCGGAACCGGTTTCCAGTTTCACGAGCGTCTTTCTCACAGAAATGACTTTACATTTTTTGCTAACCTTTGGACGCGACGCAATAAATGGTTTTCTTATTTTTATTTCGTATTCCCAGAATTGCCTAGAACTTTAATATTTAATTTAACACGGTAAAATTATATATAAAAGATCATTTCAAATAACCTTCTTCGTTTGAAGTTGGCTGCACGTGTCCATGTGCTGCAGTAGCCACTTATCATCAGGTGGATTGTAAGTGCGTTTGTCACCTCAGTTTTATAAACAAATATCACTGAAGTACTTGCGTAGATGAAAAGTAGATACCATCGTTACCACTTTGGTCCTTAAAGTTAAAAGTTATAAAAACTATGTATTCCTCATACTGTACGTTTCTATGGCTCTACCCATAGCTCTCACCACGCTACCAAAGGTTTGCTGGCAGAGAATGCCTTTTCGGCATTAAGTTAGCCTTTGTACAAAATTGTATTGAGTGTAATGAAGAATTTTCTATCGATCTATTTACGTTTCTTAATACTGTTGCTTCTTGGAATGAAATAATATAGAACTTTGTACTTCCCAGTTTATTTAAAAACGCATTTTGTTTTATTATCGATTTACCGTAGCGGTACGCAATTTCTTGAGAAATTTTCTTCGCCACCATACAACGCTTCCGACACGATACTTTCTGAGGTTTTGCTATCTTGTTCTCTTGAGAAATAAAGTTTAATTAAAGAGCTATTCCACAAAAGATTTGCACTTTAGTTTCGCCGTCTTTTTCTAAAGTATTTAGCTTAGTTATATTAACATTAAAGAAAAATATAAAATATTAATATGAACATAAATTATAAATATGCGTAAACAATTTTCATGCAAAATTTTGATGAAAGTATTGATGGTACTTACATGAGTAAAATAATAGTAATAAACTTCGACTCCAGCGTCCGCCAACACCTCTGCGAAATAGTTAGTGGGACATACGAAGAAGTAGTCACCAACCACATCCGCAATCATCTTTTGATTCAAATAGCCGTCTGTGATTTCTTCCCAGTCTGTGTACTAAAAAAAAAATCATATATTATTCAAACATTTCTTCGTGCGTAGAAATTTCAAGACCTTTGAAAAATCTTATTTAAGAAAGTTTTATGAAATTTTAATGCTCCATGTCGATTACCGAATCTCATTATAATATTTGTCCTCACACTGTCACTGTATTAGACCGACAGGGTACCTATATTATCATCATCGTTATTAAAGCTTATCAAAAGTTCAAGCCTCATAGGGCAGGATATTTGCCATTGTAGAAACGCTCGGCAGTGCCACTACAGACGTGCCAGAGAAATATACATACATCTCATACATACGTACATATTCTCGAAGAACATTTCGCCCTTCTGGGGCAGAGATAAAAAAGGAATAACTGTCATTATTTCGCTATTTTTCTTAGGATCTTTTAAATGAAAAAAAAATTATTAAATTTTTCATATCATTTTACTCATTATAGATTAACTGGAAATTATATGTCATACCTTACGTGATTTTAAATCAAAGGCAAGTTCCTTATATGACAGATAGGATAGGATAGGATATGAATTAAAATTATTCTTTTTTATAAAAAGTTAAAGTCAACTTCAAAGAACTTAATGGAAATACAAACTTTGAGTCTGAGGTCAAGGCAAAGTGTAGAAAAATCAAAGCACCGACTTCAGAATGTAAAATTATATGATTCCTTTTAGTTCTTTTTAGTCTGTATTTTTATAGTTAGTTTAATTTTTGATCCTTTTGAATATACTAAAGAATATCACAATCTCAACTACGTCATAACAGTTACATTAAAATCCCCTATCTTAGCACATATTGGACTGGAATTTTTACCAAAAATTTGTGTTAATATTGACGCGTTGTGTAACTGAAAATGTACTCAGAACATATTCAATTTCTGGAAACATGCAATTTTCCTCGTAAGGTTTCTCTACAACGATGAATACCACATATTCATTATAGTCACATACGTTTATTTTGCTGTATTTTACATCAGCGGAAATTACATATAACTAACAAACACGCCAAAGTAATATAATAAATACAATGATGTATCAGAGATTTCCATACAGGGAATGTAAGATTATATCAACGAAAAGAATAAAGATTTCTTCAAAACTCTGTAATGGAAACTTCGTTTTCATGTTAGCTAAGTAATGGAATTCTTGTACGAAGCAAACTCTGACAGGAAATAACAGGCTCAAATAAATCGAGGACTCTTTAAGAAAGCGTTCAATTGTATGAGTACATCGTCAATAATATTAAGAAATGTTTAACCTTATATCTGGTGACGCTATAGTATACCTTGCTCGCATTGTTAATGAGTACCTAACGGTTATAAAAGTTACAATATCAAAACTGGACTACTTGTTTAATTCAAAAGATTTATCAAAATTAATTATATAAATAAAACGACAAATTAATAATAAATAAATTATATAAGTAAATGATTCAATTTTATTTGTAAATCTTATTATTCATAAGATCAGAGCTAATAGTATAACAAAACCTCATATTATTAAATATTACTTCATATTATTATATATCATATACGCTTTCATTATTCTGAGCTGCTATATTTCTAAAGGTAAGGTATCAAAAATATAGTAACGGCAGTAGATTTTTAAAGGTAGCAGAGATTTACTCTTTATTTCAAACGAGGCCATGGCTAAAATATTTTGGCTTCACAGCCTACCGTAGGAATCAGTAATTCTGTTAAAGACACTAGGGAAACCAATTTATCAATAAACATTATGGAATGTATCATATTTGTATTATGGCATAAATTACACATTATATTTAAATACAATTTTAAAATTATCTTCGTAATTTCTCAGTGATAAAATGTATGCAATAGGTTATCTAAAGGATATTCAATATAGGTTGGATATATAGGATGCCCAATAAGTATCCAATAGAGATTAATTAAAATTTGTCAAAATTGTTTCACTAACAGTGAAAAGAGTTGACAAATACGATTTACTTTCTTGTATATCCATTTTAATTTTGACGAAACAATAAATAAATCAATTACGTATCAATTGAAAGAAACAGCTTTTCGAAATTTAGATAATCCATTAAATACTCCTTTTGTTTTTAATAAAAAAAGGACACATAAATACGTATGATCTGATTGTGATACGTTTCACGTGATAATACATGATCATCACTACTTAAGAACATTCATCCGGAACACTGTAGTAAATACAGGTGCATAGCGTGCTTTTTAATAAAGAGTAGGCTCATATCTTGGTTTTTATCGGAGAAGGCCACGGGCGACGGTATACTTCACAAAGTAGTCACGTCTAATATTGTAATGATCTCGTAAATCGCACACTGGCAGAAAACTGGCGGAATGATGTTGTTGTAATTTTGAAATGATATATGAGAAAAATATTCCTTAAGAGTAAATTGTGCAATGTAGAGTTGTAACAGTTGAACCGACATAAAATAATGTCTCGCTCTACTAAGCATGCTGAACTTCTTAGTTACCAATTTGACCTTTCCTTCCAGATGATTCGACACTGAACGTCACTCAATATGAATGATATTTGATATAAATATATAACGTAAATAAAGATATTAGATAAATAAAATAAATACAAAATATTAAAATATTGAAAATGAAGATTCAATTATCAAAGTGTTACGTGGTAAAGCCACGTGCAGCTGAATTATGTGTGCACCACGAAAAATTCTGCTCGACCGGGGTAGGACCGCGCTCGTACATAATAGCAACATACTAATAACGTCTTTCCTGTGGTAAATGATAAAAACTAGACGCCATTTTTACCGACAGTGCATCTGCATTTAGATTCTTAATTGAATATGAATTTTTTTCGTGGTAGTGCCATGCTGCAGCTATATTATGGTTGTAGCACGAATGGGTCGGCTCGACCGGGGAAAGACCACGCTCTCACAGAATACCAGTGTCAAATAGGAGCTTAACGCTGCTATGTTTCGTATGGTGAGTGTAGAGAACCGGAGACCCTTTTTACTGGAAAAGAGGCATTCCATCTTTAGTCCTAACGGGTGACAACGCATCTGCGTTTTGATTCGCAAACGAAGATAAATGTAGATGTCTATGGGCCACAGCAACCACTCACCATCAGGTGGACTGTGTGCTCATTTGTCACTCGATCCTATAAAAAAATATACCTGTAGATGGCAATTGTACTGTGTGCTAATTCATCACTCTTTTCCTTAATTAAAGATATAAAAACGAATACTTTAAAAATTGTTTTAATCCTCAGGGGTGAATATGCATCGACATTTTGATTATTTTTTTTCTTTTTTTTATAGGATAAGGGTGACACAGTCCACCTGATGGTAAGTGGTTGCTGTGGCCCATAGACATCTACATCTATCTTCGATTACGAATCAAAATGCAGATGCGTTGTCACCCGTGAGGACTAAGATGGAATGCCTCGTTTCCAGTAAAAAGGGTCTCCGGTTCTCTACACTCACCATACGAAACACAGCAGCGTTAAGGTGCTATTTTACGCTGGTATTCTGTGAGAGCGTGGTCCTTCCCCGGTCGAGCCGACCCATTTGTGCTACAACCATAATATAGCTGCAGCATGGCTCTACCACGTATAAATTCTCAATCGAGGATATCAGTTAATGTCTATGGACAGCAGCATCTATTTACCATTATTTTAACTGTATGCTCGTTTGTTACTTTTACTTCATTGTATGAAAGACCTTGCTCAGAAGTAAAAACACATCTGCGTTTTGATTCTTAATCGAGGATTGATAAAGCTGTCTATGAACTATGGCATCCACGTCCATATGAGGTGGACAGCGCGCTCGTTTATTATGAGGTTCCGCCTCTTAAATAGGTAAATAAAAAAATGATAAAAACCAAAGATACTGCTGACATTGAATACACATAATAGGTTAAATAATAAATCACCACATCACGAACAGAATAATTTTTCAAGGCAGAGTGAACAACACTTTACATCATTACAAGTAATTTCGAATGGGATATCCTCTTTAGTCGTTTCTTCGTATTCGCAAGCAAATAAGAACTCTGACCTTACACATTGCTACTGAATGCACCGCTATGTAGGAGTATTACTAAATTATCTTTTTTATTATATACTTATCGTTTTCACACGTAATTACCGGGGGTTTTGTATGCTTTTTAAATACAATTAATGTGTCGTCATCGTACATGAAATATATATAGGAAGAAGGAAACGAATCTTTCTGAAATAAATACTTAAACCCCACTTAGCTATTTATCGAAATCAGCACTAGCGTAAGGTGCAGTATTGAAATGCTAAAAGTAAAAGAATATAAAAAAGCACCATTAAACAGAAAATTGTTATAACAAAATTAACACAAACAATACAATAAATGAAAATGATTATTTGTCTCAAAACAGTTACAAGGATTATAAATGAGAGTAAGTAATTAATTGAGTAGTAAGTAATTAATTAGTAAGTAATTGATAATACTTGTGCCGTGTAGTGGCGGTCAAGAATACCACTACCCCATATCCTCCCGTGGGTGTCGTAAAAGGCGACAAAGGGAAACAGGCAGGAGATGGGCAGCAGCATCTTCCTGATAATAGCCAATATTACAATAAAAAAACTGCGGTTGCCAACCCGCTCGCCAAGCGTGGCAACTATGGCAAATACCCCCCTATGAATGTAACAAAGAGACGGCCCCCAGTCCCCGGCGGCCCCGCTATTCCTGGCTACGGTGGCGACCATGGTAACGGCGGGGCAGGGGGTGCTAAGAATCTCCGGTGGAGGTTCGGTTGCCACCTTAGACGACTCGACCTGGCAACATACAACGCACGCACCCTGAGGACTGACGAGAAGATCGTGGAGCTGAAAGAAGAGATAGACAAGTTGCGCTGGCATATTATAGGATTATCCGAAGTCCGAAGAGAGGGGGAGGACACGGTAATCCTCGAATCCGGCAACTTGCTCTATCACCGGGAGAGCGAACATCTGTCCCAAGGAGGTGTCGGATTTATCGTCCACAAGTCTCTCGTTAACAACGTTGTAAAGATCGGGAGTGTGTCGACGAGGGTTGCGTACCTTATACTCAGAATCACCAAACGGTATTCGCTGAAGGTCATACAGGTTTACGCACCAACCTCGGCACACCCCGATCAGGAGGTGGAGGAAATGTATGAGGATATCTCTAGAGCCATGCATTCCTCCAAAACCCAATATACGGTGTTAATGGGAGACTTCAATGCAAAACTAGGCACAAGAGAGAACGGTGAGCTGAAAGTAGGGAAATTTGGAATAGGGCAACGGAATCCAAGGGGCCAGCAGCTGGCCGACTTCATGGAGAAAGAGGGACTCTTTATGATGAACTCTTTCTTCCAGAAGCGGCCCCACAGGAAGTGGACCTGGTCGAGCCCCGACGGTTCGACAAAAAATGAGTATTGACTTCATTATGACGACCAGACGACAACTGTTCAGTGATGTCTCCGTGATCGCGAGGGTGAAAACTGGTAGCGATCACCGAATGGTTAGAGGCACACTGAACCTAAACGTTAAGTTGGAGAGGTCTCGTCTAATGAAGTCAACGCTCCGTCCCCCTCGTGCTCTGTTCCAAAGTCCCGAAACCTTTCAGCTCGAGTTACAAAACCGTTTTCAGTGCCTAGAAGACTGCAATGAAGTGGACGATATGAATGACAAGCTCGTGGAAACTGTCCATGCGGTCGGAGCTAAGTTCTGCAAGACCCGCCGCAGAAGAACACAAAAACTCTCCGATCACACTCTTAATCTCATGGCTGTTAGACGGGAGATGAAGCTACATTCTTCAACAGACTTGACAGCATACAGGCATCTGAACAGACAGATCTCCAAATGCATGCGGCGGGACTTACGCAACTTCAATACAGCTCATATTGAAGAAGCGCTCGAGCGGAACCAAGGCGCCAAAGTCTTTGCCAGAGATCTGTCTGCCAGAAAGAGCCACCTGTCAAAGCTGAAGACAGGATGTGGCAGCATCGTTTCCGGGACACCTGAGATTTTGAGTGAGATTGAGAGGTTCTATGGGCAGCTGTACACGTCATCGTTGGAGCCACACGCAAGTGTGAGTAACGATCCAAGAGCGTGTCTCATCCGACACTATTCCGAAGATATCCCGGACGTCAGTCTGAGCGAGATTAGAATGGCTCTCCAGCACATTAAAAACGGTAAGGCCCCAGGCGAGGATGGAATTACAGCGGAGCTTCTGAAAGCGGGTGGAAGACCGGTACTTGAAGTCCTTCAGAAGCTCTTTAATTCCGTCCTCCATGGTGGCATTACACCGGAGGCGTGGAGCAGAAGTGCGGTGGTCTTGTTCTTCAAGAAAGGTGACAACGCTCTCTTGAAGAACTACAAACCGATTTCCCTTCTGAGCCGCGTCTACGTGCTGTTTTCGAGAGTCATTACGAATCGTCTCGCGCGCAGACTTGACGACTTCCAGCCTCCCGAACAAGCCGGTTTCCGAAAGGGCTTTAGCACCATAGACCACATACATACCCTTCGGCAAATTGTACAGAAGTCCGAAGAGTACAATTTGCCACTATGTCTGGCGTATGTGGACTATGAGAAAGCCTTTGATTCCGTCCAAATTTGGGCGGTGCTGCAGTCCCTTCAGCGGTGCCAAGTTGACTGTCGGTATATCGAAGTGTTGAAGTGCTTGTACAGTAGGGCTACGATGGCTATCCGAGTACAGAACCAGAGTACGAAACCTATTCAATTGCAGAGAGGTGTAAAACAGGGTGACGTCATATCCCCGAAACTCTTCACCGCTGCATTGGAAGACGTTTTCAAGCTTCTGGACTGGAAAGGATACGGTATCAACATCAATAGCGAGTACATCACTCACCTTCGATTTGCCGACGATATAGTCCTTATGGCAGAATCGCTGGAGGACCTAAGCACTATGCTCAATGACCTCGATAGTGTTTCCCAACGGATAGGTCTTAAGATGAACATGGATAAAACAAAGATCATGTTCAATGTCCATGTCACACCTATGCCGGTAGTTGTTGGGAGCACTAAGCTCGAAGTTGTTGACGAGTATGTTTACCTGGGACAAATAGTCCGACTAGGTAAGTCCAACTTCGACCGAGAGGTCAATCGACGGATTCAACTCGGCTGGGCAGCGTTCGGGAAGCTACGACACATCTTCTCGTCAGACATACCTCAAAACCTGAAAACGAAATTGTACAACCAGTGCGTGTTGCCAGTGATGACTTATGGAACTGAGACGTGGTCCTTCATTGCTGGCCGTATGAGGAAGCTCAAGGTCGCTCAGCGAGCTATGGAGAGGGCTATGCTCGGAGTTTCTCTGCGTGATAAACTTAGGAATGAGGATATCCGCAGTAGAACCAGAGTAACCGATATAGCCCAACGGATTAGTAAGCTGAAGTGGCAGTGGGCCGGCCATATAGCTCGAAGAACCGACAACCGATGGGGAAGAAAGGTTCTCGAGTGGCAGCCTCGTACCGGTAGGCGAAGTGTAGGGCGTCCCCCCACGAGATGGAGTGACGACCTGGTAAGACATGCAGGAAGTCGATGGATGCAGGTGGCTCAGGACCGTGCTTTGTGGCATTCTTTGGGGGAGGCCTATGTTCAGCAGTGGACTTGTGAAGGGCTGTAATGATGATGAATGATGATATTACTTGGGTCGGGGCGATAAATCTAGAATTTTATTATTTTTTTCCCCAATAGAAGCATCAAATTGACACTAAATAGATATTCTATCGAAATAAACCAACTTCAATACTTACTTGAAACACGATTGCTTCTCTCTTAATTTTGGAAAATTCTTTGAAAATTGTATCGATAATCTCAAGAAACTTTTCTCGTTGTAGAAAACTTGGGCCGTCTTTTTCGAAGTAATCCAAGAAGTCATAGAGTAAGAAATATGTACCTGTAATTGAAAAGGATAGTTAATTTTTATAAAAATCCTGCTATATATGTTATATTTAAATAAAACTCGTCATTGTAATTAAATTAATAAAAATAATGTCCCATCTTTATAATTATAAACATTGGTAACTATTGTCATAAGTAAAAAATTCAAAGAAAAGTTAATACACAACGCGCCTTTTTAAACAAAAACTGTACGTGTTATGTACCTTAGAAAATATTACGTAATATATCGAAAATATTGTTGCTTTCTGCATTAGCGATAGAAGATATAATGAAAAAAAATATATTAATTCGCCAATAATTATAAAATATAAAGTAAAAATATATTTGCAATAAATTATAAACAGATTAGTTATTTTTAAGATTTTTTTAAAGAGTGGGGGCAAACGAGCATACGTCTCACCAGACAAATTGCAACAAATGCAACACCAGGAAAATTGCAGGTGCGTTAACAGTCTTTTAGAAAGGAGTAAGCTCTTTTCTTGAAGGTCCCTAAGTCGTATCGGTCGGTAAAAATCGCCTGTGGAAAACTATTCCACAGAGAGGTTGTATGCGGAAGAAAACTCCTAGTGAAACGTACAGTGGTGGACCGCCAAGCATCCAGATGGTGTGGATAGAATCGGGAGTTCTTCCGCGATGTGCGTTCGTGAAATTTGGCGGCTGGGAATAATTCGAACAATTTTTCAGAGCACTCTCCGTGGTAGATGTGAGAGAAAATGTAAAGGGATGCAACATCTCTTCGCAGCACCAATGAATCTAGCTGATCGGATAAGACTCGGTCTTCGACAATTCGAGCCGCTCTGCGCTGGATGCAGTCAAGTAGAAGGAGTGGCACTTTGGAGCCCCAGCCCAGAGATGGGAACAGTATTTCATGTGAGGCCGAGCCTACTCCTTGTAAAGCTGCAGGTGATGTGCTGGCATGAAATACTGTCCCACTCTGCTGAGCACGAAAAGCTTTTTAGAGGCCGATATGGCCTTCTCTTCCAAGTAACCACGAAACTGCACGTCCATCGATAGGTCGACGCTGAGAATTCCGATACAAAGGGGATTTTTTAGCGGTAAACGTGCAAACTTGTGTCTTCTGAAACTAAACTGGACTAGATTTAGTCGCCCCCAAACTTTGTTCCAGACTTTGTTCAGCAAAGACTCGACTTCAAACACAATTTTGTTCCGGTACTTGGCGACGTTTTCCCGAGAAATATTGGCACGGCCGGTGTATAGAGCATCACCAGTGCCGATTTGCAATATATTATTTATATGCAGAAGAAACAGCGTTGGTGAAACAGCCTTGTGGAACACCGGCATTAATAGGCTTGTAATCGTACCGTCTACAACGACCTTGATCCTGCGATCTGAATAAAAGCTGGTGATCAAATTGCACAATTACTCGGGAAGCCCATAGGAAGGGAGCTTCAATAGAAGCGCTTTGTGCTAAGCCCGATCGAAGGCCTTCGCAAGGTCCAATCTAACAGCCAATGCCTTCCCCTTGGACTCTACTACCTTCGCCCATCTATGAGTCAGGTAGACTTGAAGATCACTCGCTAATCGACCCGACAAAAATAGTATTGGCGGTAACTAATCAGCTCGTCATCTTCAAAATACCGCATGAGCTGGCAGTCTATAATGGTTTCCATTATTTTGGAGAACAAGGGAGTGATGGCGATATGCCTGTAGTTAGACGGGTCTAAGTGGTCGCCTTTTTTAGGGATCGAGTGGACAAAAGCCGTCTTCCATGATTTCGGGGCCTACGCCTAGTAGTACCGGAAAAGACGCGTTAGAACCGGTACCAACTCTGGAGCACACGTCCTCAGCAAAATTGGGGGGATTCCGTCAGGCCCACTCGACTTGTGGATATCCAGAAAGAGAAGTGCTTTGCGAACCGAGCACTATGTGAACACTACATCCGGCATGAAGCACTTACAACGCGGTATAGTCGGCGGTGTGCTCTCCCGTCATCAAGAGTCGAGTTGGACGCAAAGAAAGAGCCTAGCAGATCAGCTTTCTCCATTGCGGCATTGGCCAGTGTGTCGTTCTCACTCTGCAGAGATGGAAGAGATGGCTTGGATAGCCTTGGCAAGAGACAAGAGTGCACGGGTTCCCGAAGGAAGGCGAACTAGTTTCTCGCCAATTCTGCCTATGTACTCTGACTTTGCCTTGGCAATGACTCGCGGAATTATACTTCGTTTACATCCCGGGATGTTGATGCATCAGCCCAGGCCTTTGCTATTTGTCATTTAGCCAGCGTGATGCTATTTTATAGGAAAGACTAAACCATGGCTGAGATCTGCCTCCGAATAGGCACCACAGACGAAGGAATAAAAAGTTCCATACCCTGAAGTACCACATCAGCAACAGAATTAGCAACAACGTTGGGATCGCAGCAGAAGGTCCAACAGGAAAGGTGTATGATCCTCCATATCTGGAATCCGCGTAGGCGAAGTAATTGAGTGAGACCATATGCCAAGATAAAATCATGAACAAGTCGCCTCGCATAATCGGTTAAACGTGAACCGAGCTATTCGGCGTGGTGGGCGTTAAAATCTCCGAGGATTACGACCTCTGCGGATGGGATCTGCCGTAGCAAGGAATCTGTAGAATGACTACTACTCTTCAACCCCTCCTAATGAAGGAGGGGTTGAAGAGTCAGTTTGTTTCGGCATTACAGCTATGGGACCTATAGAAACAAACATTTATTTGCACATCTTTGTCAAGGCGGTTAAGTTACGTCGCATAAAATATTTAGCTTTGATGCTACATAACCTAACAACATCAATGAAACATGCATTCATATGCAATAAAGGCATGACCTCTCTGACAAGCGAGTTCATTAAAAATAAAGTTACAGAGTGCTCCCCATATCACGAAGTTTGAATTTACCTACACTATTTACATTCACAATTACGTTCATCGTGAGATAATGTGAAAATAGTTTCATTTGTAAGATTCCTAATTTAAGATATTTTATTCACATATGCCTGCTGCGACGAAACCAATTTGATATCAATAAATGCCAAGCTATCCCACTATCTATGATAGACATCAGTTTCAACGGAAATGGTAATGACGAGTTCAATTTAACATAGTCAGAATACAGACGGAGAGACCAGACGCTCATCGGATATCCGCTTAGTATCCAACATGCAATTACTTTAAACATTATTTATTTCCCTATTGTAATTTATGTTTACAATACATAAGTTCTTCACTAAATTAGATAACGTCGTAAAGTAGAACGCTGAACAATTTGAAATAATAAGATTCAGGTGGCACTGGTACCCCACGTTTTCGAGAAGTTGCTCTTATCTGGCTGGGCAAGCGGGGCTGTGTTTAGGAGTGGGGTGCATGGCAACTAGGTACCGGGGATGAGTAAGGGGGACCACCTAGCTACGTGGGCGAGTCTGTAGTACCTAGTAGTACGGATAGAAATCCACAACGTGATATTGTTGTGTCTACATAGGTTTGCGCAGGCGTGCGCCACCCCGCCGTACAGTTACAGCAAATATTCGAGCCCCCGACACTCAAACGACCTCGAACTCCGCTCCCGATATTGATAAATCGTGTTTTTAAGTTATCCTTATTATCAAAGCTTAAAGTAATAAAACATTTTCTTAACGTTAAAAGTGAAATTAAGGTGCTACAGTTGGGCATAAAACTCCCATTTCTGGGAGGGTTCCATAAGAATTAATATACATAATTATTATTTAATTTAACGTCTTAAATATTACGTAATAATGCTTAAGTATTCTGAATCTCAATTTATGTCAAAATTTATCATTCAATGTATTCTAACCTTATGTGTGGCTTTAATTTAAAAAAAATCATTAGGCTATGTTTTACTTAGCACGTATATTAAATTTAAAAAAAATTGTATTAAGATCCAAGACTTTGCATAAGCGAATATAAAGTACCTACATTGTATATGTAACCGTAATGTGACAGCATGCATAATAATTTCCAGAAAATGCTAATTTCGCACAATATTTAAAAAATATTCTATCTTTTTAAGAAGAAATTTTAACTTATAAAGTAAATACTTTGCTAATTCCATAAACATTTGAAATTAGTTTCGCCCATGATTAAGCCTAGCAAGCAAGAGCTGGTTTGAGGAGAAAATGATACCAGTATATATTTACATACCTTCATCTTGATTACTACCAAGAAGAACTTCATTGTTATGAAAATTTCCCTCTTTCATCATAGTTTCTGGATCTTTTGGTAGAAACACACCATCAACAGTTGGAGCCGATGGAAATCCTAGTATACCAGTATATGAATTCCACTGTTGCACTGATATCGTTTTAGCATCCACTCCACGCATACAATCCATCACTAGGCTCGGGTCTACCGCCAGAAGACTACTATTGCAGTTACAGTCATCAACTAGGACTTTTCCTATATCTTGAGCTCTCTCTCCTGTCATCCAACTCCAAGGGGCGTTCAAAGTTCCAGACTGCAATATACCTCTTTTGAACAGTCCCTTCATTTCCGGAGACAGCATGTGAAGGCTCACGCTGCCACCACCCGCTGATTCTCCAAACAATGTAATCAATTCAGGATCTCCGCCAAAGGCACGAGCATTATCTTTGATCCATCGGATCGCCAATTGTTGATCCCACAAACCCATGTTACCTGGTGCTTCTTCACTACCAGGGGAAAAATAATTGTTCAAGTATAAAAATCCAAATGCACCGACCCTGTACTGCATAGAAGCAACAATGACATCACTAGAGGAAGCCATTATATCGGCTTTATACAAATCAAGAGTGGCCGTGCCGCTCATGTAACCGCCCCCATAAATCCAAACTAATATTGGTACTTTTGGTCTTTCCGTTAAGGGTTTATCTTGATGATGTCGAACGCGAAGGTGCTGAGGTACCCATATATTAAGATACAAACAGTCTTCTGATATGTTAGTGTTAGGATTCCACATCTCCTCACCCTCAAAACCAGGAAAATATTCGTATCTCTCTTGGTAACAGCTATTTGGCATGGATGTTGCTTCTAAAACTCCATGCCATGGGTCTATAGGGACAGGCTTTCGGAACCTTAATGGACCAAGAGGAGGTTTTGCAAATGGAATACCAGTAAAAATGTGCACCTCACGACCCATCACTGTTTTGGCATAACCTTTTACAAGGCCACTTTTAGTCTCAACGATAAGAGGGTCATTATGAAAATTCTTCGGCGCTTGACTGGTAGTGGGCGTTGTTTGTGTAGTAGAGGTTGTAGTGTCATGATGATTGGCCCATGAACGGCTCCAAGCTCCAGACACAAGCAACGTTAACACGAGTTTCGTGAACATAATTTTGTTATGACGATAATTCATTTTGATTAATGTCAATTCAAAATTAAATAGAACGGGACGTGACACTACTTAATCTAAAGTATTCCGCTAGTTTGATTACGAGTTTCTTTATAAACATTGCTTCTTTTCTTGTTTTCTTATTAGATGTGGATTTCCTGAAACAAAGATAAAAATTTATTAGCGGTGTATATTATCATAAAACATTATTATTAGCATTAATCCGTGAAGAGACAACAGAGCGAGTCAAATAACTTCGTTTTCCAATTAATTTCATCTACCCATTATATCCTATAAAAGTCCACTACTGAACATAGGCCTTTATTAGAATGTCTCCTATGGGATTTTACCATAGTTGCCACGCTTGGCTGGCGGGTTGGCAGCCGCAGTTTTTTATTATTTTGAGTTGTTATCAGGAAGATGCTGATACCCATCTCCTGTTTCAGTTTCCCTCTTACGACTCCCACGGGACGTTATGGGGTATTGAATATTCGTACACCGTCACTACACGGTGTTTTCCTATGTGTCATATGATACTACATGTAGGGCACATTTCAGTACATTTATTTTCAAATCAATAATATAAGACGGTGGGGCTAACTTCCTTAAACTGCCTCTAGAATTGACAAATACTCGTATGTAAGAAAGAAAGAAATTAGGTTTATTTAGTAACACATTATAGCAATTTGTTTACAATAATAACATCTATACAAATAAATAAAATTGAGTTGTCTGTTGGTCATGTTAAAATAAGAGCTTTTTACTAAATGCATATGAAAGTATATACGGTTCTTTACAAAAAAAAATTTGTCTGTCGGACTGACTGTCCATTTGTTCCGGCTAATCTCCGAAATGGCTGGACCGATTATGACGGGATTTTCACTGGCAGATACCTGATAATATAAAAAGTAACTAAGGCTACTTTTATTTTAAAAAAATAATTAGGAAATAATTAGAAAAATATATATAACCCATGAAATCCAATCGTAATAAATTCCACGCGTACAAAGTCGCGGGGCACAGCTAGTATATTATTAAGTTGGTAAATGGTTACTAAAGAGATACCCTACTCAGCGTAGTCTTGGTACATATACTGACAAAGTACTTTGACGCTGATCTTCCGTGCGTGCTAATAAAAATTTAACAAAATATAAAAGTAACAGTTTTGATTATTAAGCAATTTTAAGTAAAATATTCACAATCGCAAATATTTAAAGCAATACTTGTATACACGTATACATATTTACAATAAATAAATATAATAAAAGTATCAACTTGAATAAAATTAAAAAGAAAAGTATGTAAGACATAGTAGGTATATAATTTTCAATGAGTTGACTTTTGATTATTCAGTATGTATTCTCGATTTCTAATCGGTGGTGGTATGTTATTCTATAATAGTTGGTTTTTTTCTTTGTACCCAATTTTTATATTGACTATAAAGTGGACAAACGTTTTTTTTTTAAACATTGAACCTGCTCGTAAAAATTAAGAACCTTTTTTTCCTCCTTCCTTCCTGGGTTTATTCCAGCACATTTTAAAAGGAAAACTCCAAAATTGCAATAAAACTGTAAAACTCTAAAAAGCTCCAAATGACTTAATAACCAAATGGACATCGTTAATAGAGTAAAACAGAGTATAAACAATTTTAACACATATGATACTGTCCATACAAGCTCAAAAGTAGTATAATTTATTACAAAGGCAATGGCCCAATGAATAAATGGGCCATTTCCATTGGTGAAAATGCCTTTTCTCCCCAAAATGCATATGAACATTCACTATTCAATCTTTAAAACATTAAAATAAATAATCACGAGTAAAGCCGTCTACACAAAATAAATTATATATTTAATAATAAATGTTAATAGAAGTTCTAAATAAATTAAATTAAATGCGATAAAGTAGTTTTATTGAATTTTAAATTTCTGAATAATATGAGATATTAGTATTTGTAATTTTTTGTCGCTCACCAAACGTCGGGAGCGTGTGTCGCTAGGTAATAAAACGTAGTACTTGAAAGCGGTCGGTGTAAACCATTGCTTATTATGTTATAATATAATAACAGAGTAAAATAATTTGAAACGAATTGTTTTGTTGTATTATTTATTAAACAATGTTACACCTGCTTTAGGAATCTCTTCACGAGTAGATTTAATTCCTCTTATTTCCACCTCTTGTGGGTGTCAAAACATTTTATTTGAAATAAATAAACCTGAATTTACACGTAGCTGTAACATTGTCGACATTAATGTTTCTTACATGTCTGACCTTATTATTTACTCGCTTCTAGCCTATAAACAGGAAAATATGTATCTATATATAATATGTAAATCGTAAACAGACGTTTAGTTTGTTTATCTATGCACGTTAATCACTAAATGCTTAATGCTGCTGTGTTTCGTCTGGTGAGTATGGAGAACCAGATACCCTTTTTACTGGAAACAAGGCATTCAATCTTAGTCCTCAGGGATGACAACGCATCTGCATTTTGATTCTCATTGTGGTTAGATGTGGATGACCATCAACTTACCATCAGGTGAACTGTGTTCTCGTTTGTCACCCCACCCTCATTCTATTAAAAAAAAGTTATATATAGCATAACTTTGTATTCACAAAGTTTAATTATTGCGGCTTTGGTTTATCAATCACAATCACGCCACTGAGCATTATGTGAGTTGATACGAAACATAATATATTTTATAATTTTACAATTCTCTATTCTATGTCCATTCTCGATAAAGAATTAAAATTCTGATACGTTGACACCCCTATTTAAGTAAAAAGGCCTGATATTTCCGTCATTTACCATATGAAACACACCAACATAAACTGCTATTTTACGATTGTATACTCTCAGAGCGTGGTTCAGAACCATTCGTTTTGCAGAGCTGCAGCGCGTCACGTATAAAATTTTACAGTGATTAGGTTATTATTGATTTTAAATGATGAAAATTGTTGGGATTCATATCCTAAACTAGCAAAATAATAGCAGGTACTATGACAACATACTTTTCGGACTTTGGTTATAATATCGTAAAGATAATATTTACCTCTATACCTTATAATTATTGTTTTTAACAATTAACACAATATTTTACCTTATTACGTGATGCGTTCAATACGTAATTTCGTAAATATCATACTAGCATGCTTATAATAAAATAACGAGGTTTTTTAATTTAATTTCATGCGTAATTTCATCTTTAAATACGATACATATGATAAAATTTTATACATGAGCACAAGATAATAAAAATGTATCGCGACACAAAAAAACATAGCATAGTGTGTACAAGTAGCGTGAACAGCTCTAAAGTTTTAATGGCTTAATTTTATTGATAATCTGAAATAGTAAAATTAATAGAGAAGAACCTTTCTTAGAAGTTAGAATGCTATGAAACATTGGGGCAGATGAACAAAATCAAATTGTAAGAGTAGTTTTGTATGGCAACGGAACTCTGAAAATGTGGAAATATTTCCTCGAATCCCAGCTTCTGACCAAAGCAATCGTTATTTCATCGACAGACAAAATCTTTCGCTAGGGACACATAACATTGTTTTCAAGCTCACAGGTTACGAGAGGTTGCGAATAAATATTAAATTAAGGTTCTACGCGAAATACATAAAGGTGCACATGTTCTGAATACAAAATCTTATTCAAGAGCTCTTACATTGGGACTAGAGTTATATGAAAGGTGAAGTATGAAAGGTAAAGTAGAAATTTGATACATTTACGGTAAACTGAATCTATATATTTTTTATTTACGATACTGCAGAGTAATTTTTTGAAAGGTATACATTTGTAATTAATACAAAACGAAATAAAAAAAGATAAGCTTATAGTAACGGCTTTCTTTATCTTATCTATGTTTATTTATCAACTGTTACCAAAATTTTGTAAGAATAAAATTAAGCTCCTGCCCTGGTTTGGTATAGTTAATCAATAATTTAGTATAATATATAATAAAATAAATAATTAACAGTGGTGAAAAAATTCTAACAATACGAAGTATATAATGTTGCTATAGATAAAGGTAGTTCAATTATGTATTCCTTTTAAACTCTTAAAAGTTCACCTGTCTGTAAAAGAATTACATTATACTCAAACTCAATTTACAAAGTTGAAAACAATCTTTTTGTTGCGAAAGCACAAAGTAAAAATATTCAATACATCATATTATCATTACGAAAATCTTTTAAATAATAATAGTATTTAAAACACAACATTTAGAAACTATTAAATTATAAGTTATAACACAAGTAAAAAAAGAAGCGACTGAATGAGGAAATTACTTGCTTTATATAATATGCAATGATTACCGTCCAAATTATTATCAGTATATACTTTAGTCGATAGCCTATACATGGTCGAGTCGATTACAAAGATATTATCATCGTTATGCGTCGGTAATTTCCTCCAGCTTACCTTTCAGTTACGTTTAGTACCAATAAGAAACTTTCAGTTATTACCCTTTCAGTTTTTATTATTACATGTGCATATTTTACTGGGTAATACAGCACTATAGAAGAACGCTAAAAAATATTTTAAGCCACGGTTACGAATATAGTAATTAGGTTTAAATAATTTCCAGTGGCTATCAATATAATACAATGTCCAATATAATATAATATAATGTCGTAGGTTAAAATATATAGTGTCCGTGTTACTAGCGAAGCATATCAAAGCACCGTTTGTCGAGATCAGCGGACGGATCCCTAGGGAGCAGACTACGTTGCAAATTAACTTAAGGTTGCTCTGTATGCAGACTATCGTGTCGCGTAACGACAACCGAGGCCCTACGGAACCCACTCTGTACACGGGTAAGTTTACGAAATAATCTCGTAACAAATTTATACATACATACTAAACATTGCTTTGTTACCATGTGATTCTATCCTACATTTACTATGCAAATAGGTTAATCCTATAATCAGAATTTTTATAATTCATATCACTTTAGACATAATCTAAGCATATGAACTACCACAATCTTCACTCAACTAAAATAGGATGTTTTCGT